ACACACACACACACACACACACACACACACACACACACACTAAACAGACGGCAAAGAGCACGTGGAGTTGACAGCTGGTAACTGCAGGGCCCAGCAGGTGCAGAGTGTGTGTATGTGTGTGAGCGTGTGGTTGGCCCCAGAGGGCCCCTGACTCATGGCCAGAGAGGCAGGCAGAGGTGTGTGTGTGTGTATATAATGTGTGTATACATGGTTATAAGGGGGGCCTGGCTGACTGACTAGCCTGGAGTTGACTTCACTTCAGCTCCAGTGATTGATTGCAATAGGCCTGGACATGAGGCGATGTATTGCCCGTGGATACTACCTTTGACTACCTTCATTACATCAATAGCCCTCTCTCGCTCCTCTTTCCTGTTTTGTTGTTGTTATTTGTGTGTTCTTATGGCCTTTTACTGAACTTCGAAGAGTTCACTTTATTATGATAATCGGCACCGGACTGCGAACTTTGTGGAGAGACTCACTTGATGAAATGGATCATCGCTTGGACGCAGGAAAAGTTTGACTTGAATGCAGTGAACGTCGAAACTTTTCGTGCACACACCGGAAACTCTTTATCTCTATATCTTCTTTCCTTTACCAGAACCAGCTTGGTCTTGGTCAGTATGCCATTTGATGGAGTGCTCTTTGCCAGCCCGCCCGCCTCTGGCTATGGTGCCATCTTGAAAAGCGCCGCGGCACACACACCTGGCCTGCCGGCTGCCTCTTTGGTCTGCCTCACCTTTTGTCAGCACCATGTTAATGAAGGCCCTGTCAGTGTCCACTGCTCGCACACCGGGGTGCCTTTTAATGAGTTCGCTATTTGATCACTATAGACACCCGGCATGAACCATGTTCCCTTTTTTTTTTTTTTCCTTTTCTTTTTTTTTTCAGATCCCTCATGGTTGCTTCTGCTTCAGTCTTGTATGCATGTTCACAAATTTTGTGTTTGTGTGTGTGAGGGGGTAAAGGGAAAGGAGACAAGGAGGAGGGGGCTGGTCAGCTGATTGGAACCAGTTTATAATAAAAGGGGAGGGTGGTTGTCTTTTAAAAGAAGGGGGGAAAAGAAAAGAAAATTATTATTTTTATTCCCCCCTCTCTCTATACCCAAGTGAGTCGTGGCTCTCTCTTTTCAGGGGTAGATGAAAGCAGCTGGGCGCAGGGCTTCCAACAAAAAGTGCCAAGCGATCACAAACAAACCTTCAGATGAATCACATCAAAGGCGCTGCCCCAATTGTTAGCCCTCTCATATCTGCGGAAAATTGGCTCATTAAGGGCAAAAAATGACATTGTTTACATTAGCCGGGGCCCTGATTAGTGCTAGCCATGTTTGTTGTGTTGCTCTGCTGTCCGCTTACCAACAGACCACTTCAGCCGCTCTGCACAATCGCTCCTTTGAAGGCTTTCTTTCTGTGGAAAAAAAAAGGAGATAGAAAGAGTGAGGACAACAACAACAACAACAACAAAAAGAAATGGAAAAACAGAGTGGAAAAATACACCAATACACACACACACACACACACACACAAACACATACAACTGCGTTTGCGAACCCACACAAATGGACATGATAGCTTTTTTTCTCTCTCTGCCTCTCTGCTCTCCTCTGCTTATTGGCTTTTCTCTCTTTAGGACTAATTAGGTTGCTTGTGGAAATAAAGGTGATAGGAGAGGACAGTTGGGCCAATGATGAGTCTGTTTGTGCTGTAATTGCACTGATAAAGAGGCTAGTGTTGTTGGCGGCAAAGAAAAGAAAAGAAAGAGCTTGACAATGAAACGCCCGGGGCTCTTTGTGGCGACGGCTGCGTATCTGTGAAAAGAACACCTTTTGTGGAGCAAAGCTTTTGTAAACTGGGATGATTTCTAATCTGTGGAAAGTGCTATGTGTTTTAGACAGGCATGTGTGTGTTTGATCTCATAGATCTAAGGTGTAAGGGTCCTTATACCTTCTCATCTACTACTTGAACTCGTTTTTTCGCTCATCTGCCCTTTTTAAAAACAAAACAAAACAAAGCTAAACAGACAAAAAACATCTAGACACTGTGGAATCATTCAGCGCTACAAAAGAGATGAAATTAGACTGTTTTAATTTCTAATCACCTCTGCACAGACCCTGTCTTGTTGCATGCTATGCCTTGTTATATATGCACAGAGAAAGCTGGACTGTGTTTGTATATTCTTTTTTATGCCATGCTTGAACAGATGCCAAGATTCATAAAAAAACCACGGCTAAGACTTTGTATAAAGGTCATGGCCTATAATGCATTATGAACACACTCATAAGATATTATAATGGAATTATGGGGCTGTATATAAACTCAACTAGCATGTCCAGAAAGCTTAAATATGAAATGAGCGTTTCAACTGCTCCAATCCACTGCTGGCATATTTTACAGAACCACAGTGTGCTTGTTAGGCTGTTATAAATTGTTAATAACAAGCTGAAATGAAGGCTGTTTGTATGTATGTTTAATATGGCAGGTATCTTAATACACAGGCTGACAGCAGCAGTGGCCTTGCTCAGCATTTATTGCAGCTATTACAAATCTTAAGAAATGCAAAGAAACAGTAAGACTGGGAATGAAGACAAGATAAATACAGAATAATATTTATAGCCGCACAGTTGAGAGTACCACAGCCACCTGACCGCTGCTATCTCAGTATCTAACAGGTAGGTTTGCTTGCTATTGTCGTCCTTGAACGTGGCACCTGTTTGGTGTCTTTAGTCAGGCTCAGGATAGTTTGCTTGGGCAAACAAAAACGAGTGACAAGCTCACTGCTGTGTATTTTCCACGGGTTTGTGTGATCTCTACAAACACTTTCCCTTTTTTCTTTCCATGAGAAGGTTAGCACACAAATTGTGAACTATGCTCTCCTTTTTTGTTTTTGTTTTTTTGGTTGAGTGTAACTAATCAAAGCAAGTGTCAGTGATCGTTACCATGGTAACATCAGTCTTAAGCTTTACTTAGCCTGGGGGTAAGTTGTCAATATTTATTTGGTGCTAAATTAAGACAGGTCTAGCCCTACAGGCCTGTCTAAAGTATCCTTGTGAAACCATCCATCCGTCCATTCTCTTCCACTTATCCAATTCAGGGTCACCAGGGGGATGGACTCTGGTATTTGGTATTTGACACTAGGTATTTGACACATGGAGCTAAAAAGCATTGGGAATGCTGAACGTATAAAACCTTGTGCCTATTATATTAGCTGTTATGAGACCTTTCATCTCATTTTACTTGTGTAAATACAGATGCTGGAGTTTTGTTTTTTTTTACGAAACCCTCACATATTTGGCCCTTACACCCAAGGAGGAAGAGAACAACCAATAGTTGGAATGAGGTTCAAAGCTTTTTGTATTCCTGCTAAAAAAGCAACTTAATTGACACCTCAGTTCGAAGGTAGGGACAGGCAGTTCTCCAAGATGCTTGGAAGACACGGGTGATAAAGAAAAGAAAGACCTGCATGTGGTCTTTCTAGACCTAGCCAGTGCGTTTGGGTCAGTGCTACATGAAGTACTGTGACTGCATATGATTTCTCAAGCGTTCCAGAGAGCATAGCTGCCTAAGCCTTGAGAGGATGCCACTGAGGAGGCAGATGAAAGGCAGAAACTGTGATACGTAACCATAGCCTTTATATTGTGCTATGCTCTCATGGATTTTAACATCTGGTCTTATTAATCAGTCGAATTCAGAACTTATGAAGAAAAAGGTAGAACAGGTCATCCAGTAATCAAAGGGTTGGTGTTTCAATCCCTGTATGGCTAAGCCTCCAGTCTGCATGCCTAAGTGTCTTTGGGATGCTGAACCCCAAGTTGGTCTTCTATGCATTTATATGAATGTGCGTGAATTTTAGATAGAAAGCAGTTAGGCGTAGAAAAAGTGCTTGTATAGGTGAATGTTGTAGAAAAGCGCTATTTATCAATTAGGCTGTTTACTACTTTTGCCAATTTCTCCAAGCTTTTCCTCCTGTCGCTGTATCAATTGCCCTCAAACAGTGATGAGGGACAGGTTTGTTTTTTTTGTTATTTTTTATTGTCAGTGACATCAGGAGAATGCAATTTTTTTGTGGGAGAATAGTCACAACGTGTCTGAAGCATTTTTTTCCCCCAGCTGAAGTCGTACATGTGGATTTATTTCTTTGTATGTTGCCAGGTTCAAATTCATTCAGTCTTTCTTTTAACACAGACCATGAAACGTCTGCGTATTGTTTCCTATTAAAGTACTTATAATGTATTATACACAAAACATTCATAAAAAACTGTTATCATGGATGCACTCCCCCCGCCCACAAAACACAACATGATTTTCATGCGCAAGAATTCTGTGATCATCTCTATCGTTTGAGTCCGAGACTTTTTTGGCAATCTACTTCCAACAAGTTCCCGCAGTGACACGTTTGACCTATTAAAATTCAGGGGAGGACATTTCATTTATCTTAGCTTGGTCTGGCAGCAGTGAGAGAACAAGACCGTGCATGACAAAAAAAAAAAAGATGGAAAAAACTTTGGGAGTAAAACTTCAAGTTATGGGTGAGCAGGTCAAGCTGCACTGCTAACGACAGCCACCGACCCCGAGCTCGCCCTGCGTTACCCTTCACCTTCCTCTGCTCCCCAGCCCAACTCACCTTTGCCCTGGGAGAGAAATGGAGTCTGAGATAGAAGAGGAGGGAGGATTGAGGGAAGGATGGAGAAGAGATCCCCCTCAACATAATGATAACCGCAGAGATCTGGCCACCGTCCCCCACCGGCCCCTGGACACTCAGCCCCGCGGCCCCCAGGTCAGCTCAGCACATTATACTCGCTCTCTCCTCCTGAACTCTCTGACTCTACATTTACATACCCACCACTTTTTTTCCCTACTTACTTTTTCTCTTTTTTTTCCTAGTTTGCTATATTTCACCTCCTTTTTTTTCCACTACACCTCATTTTCTTTTCAGTTTCTCCCTGAACTCCTCCCTTTCTCCTCTTTGTCTTTTGCATTTCATCTGTGCAGACCATGCGCTGTGCGTGTATGTGTGTGAGTGTGTAATAATTACCATTTAGAATACTAGTAGATCTCTGAGGGAGGGAGCACAAGTTTGCCAACGCTCAGGCATGGTGGGAGCTGTTTGGTTTGTGTTTAGGTGCCCTTGGTGTGCTCTGCAGAGGAATCAGAATTTCCTTGACTTTTGACCGTTGTTCTCCCCAGGGGGGCGGCGGGTGGGATAAAAGGGCACAGACTGACTTCCATTTGCCGTTTAAAGACCCATATGGAAAATATAAATTGGTAGCAGCAGGAAAGACTGAAACCATTGGCATTCCGGGCATCCAGCATTTGAATTCATGAGGTTGTGTTGTGTCTCTGCCCACTTCTCGATTGGAATATTTAAGAACGTGTCACACGGGGAAAGATGGATAGAGATGTCGGCAGTGCTTGCTTCTGTCATTGTTTTTTGTCCGAACCTCTTTCTGAATATTTACTCTGTTTCTTGGTAATATCTGATACATAAACAGAATAAATGTTGACAGCTACGATGTGTTGATTTAGGATCAACAGAGTGCTTTCTATATTTACAAATTGCTGAAGCCTGGGGAAAAGCTTGTACATCCAAAATCTTGTTTGTTTTTATACATTTATTGGTGACATCCGGGAGATGTGCTCATCAAGACAAACTTACATAATGTTCATCATTAAAGAAACATAACTAGTGGAAATAAGTCGGCAGCAAACTATTTCCACAACAAGACATCTTGATCTTTTCTACAGTGTTTAATATGGCAAATATACTTGCTTTCAAGAAGTGTAATCCTTCTAGTTTTTAACCCTTAACAACCTATGAATGACCTGTTCTCTGTTCATTTTTTACAAGCTGACGGTCGGCGGCAGTGAGTGTTGACGTCAGCCTTTTTTTTTGTTTTTGTTTTTTTAAATCCTTAATCTGTATTGTTTTCATTTAAACTGATGTCAGCATTGTTAATTTCGAAAATCTAATGTAGTATATTAAACTTTTTGTGTCATTGTGCAGTCGTATAATGTTGTATTGGAAACATAATGCTTTAAAGGGCTCAAAAAAGACCCAGTAACTAGTATGTTGTTTTCAAGTTTGGAGATGATCCAATGGAAACTAATGCTTTTTACTAATTCGTGTAACCTTGACCTTGTACCTTGAAACATTGCCTATATATGTATGTATGTATTTTTTTTTATCTTTACCCATATGACTTGAGCTGAGTTTGCTGAAGCTGCTATAAGCTTCAAAAATACCGGCAGCCACCAATGCTGCATATATCCTGTCTGTGCAGTTTGCAAAGTGCTGATGTCGTGTTCGTAGGATCTTGTATTTTTGTGCAATAAAAACAAAAGTAATGTCCATTTCGCCGCTTAAAGACAAACAACAACAATCAGAATCAGAATCAGAATACTTTATTAATCCCGAAGGAAATCAGGGTTACAGCAGGCAGCACGCTAATGGCGCATGCGCACTTACAAAGGAACCTTCTGACCAACTTTACACAAACATCACATTGGGGAGACATGTCAGAAAGGTAGGCTGATAGGAAAAAAAACAACGAAAATACATAACATGAGGTAAGAGGAGGAGAAAAAAAACTCCACTCCAAACTTAATGATAAAGAAAGAAAAAAGCCTTGATATATTTTTTCACTGTTCTATCTGCCTGTTTTGTAAATAATTCTTGAACTGTTATAATATAAGTAAAAAAAATGTAATTGTAATGTGATTACTGAATGTAGTATTTAGTTATTTAGGATTTAGTATAGCTAGTGTAGTTCAATTATTGTGTTACTAAAAATAGTAATGTGATCACAGTAACTCATTTTACCCAACACTTCCAGTGGACAGTAAATTAAAAACAAACAAACAGAATAATAATTGTAATAATTTGTCTGTCTAAAAAAAAATTGATGTATTATTTCATATATAGGTTTTTCAGCTATTTTTTTTGCGAAAGAACTCAAGATTTTTAAATATTTTTTTCCACTTACATGGCCACACTATGTCGAAATAACCCGTAACTAGTTGATAAAAAAAGCAACACTTCTATGCAACACATTTACGGATGCCATGAGGCAGTGTCATGTTGACACTGTAATAGATTTCGTGTCTTACCACACTTGACTAGCAGAAGGTGGTGGCTGAATGGAGTAAGGCTTGGTAGATGGATGAGCAGAGTATAGTATATACTGTGTGTGTGTTTGTGCTAAGCAGGGGTCGTAGACTGACTGTTTGGCTTACTGGAGGGAGAAGTTCTGTGTGGTTCGTGGGACCACAGACCAACTGACCTTGTGGATCATAACTGCCACCAGGGGTCACAGCCAGCCAGCTAGAGAGAGAGAGCGAACAAAGCTTGATGATGCCCCATTTTCTCCATCTCACCCTCCTTATGTCACTGCTATCAGTTTAAATGGAGCATTATGCAAAATGAAGATGATTTTGGCTTCAGGGGGTGTGATGGGGAGAATAGCGGGTTAATGTAGGGGAGAAAAGAAAAAAAGATGGGGATTTTGTAAGGTGGGGAAAAAAGGGTGGAAGCAATAGTATAAGGTTCTGGGGTTTGGTGGGAGATGCTGGTGGGGGATAAGGGGTATAAGAGGGTTAATATAAGTGACAAGTGAGTGTTTCATTCTATCTAAACCACCCTCCTAGACAGGTAACTCACTTAGAGAATTTGCTGAATGAGGCAGTCAGGCTATTGGGAAAGATCGTCACTCCAGTGTCTGTCTCAATATCTGCCAGAGGCGACACAGGACCCCGGGGTCCAGCCTTCCCATATAAAAGCCCACCTGAGAGCCAGCACAATAAAGGCCACTCAGCCAGATGCAATATACCACAAAGAGAATTTCCTGAAAAACTTGATTTAAGCTGGAAAGAAATTGAAAGTTATTTGCAAATAGTGATTTCCTAAAATCATATACCCCAGGTTGACTTAGGAGAGTCATTCATATAAGATTGACTGTTATCTACAAACTAAATGGATTTAGTTTCACCTGACTCAAAAGAAAAAGTTATTGGAAAACACTTAGCTAGGTCTCTCGTCTCTTCCTGTGCACTGTTGAGGGAGACTGCAGCGCAGCATATACCCTCAGAGGACTTTCCATTTCCATTGCGTACACTGTTTTGAAAGGGACCAAATCTCAGACTTCCCTTTAAGTTTATTCTACCTGCCATGAGTCCAAAATGCGATTACCTAAGATTGCTGTAATTGTATCTCGGTCATGTGTTCAGCAACAGTGAATTCCCGACTTCTTTAATATTGACTGTGTGTCTCTGTTGATTGTGTGAAATGTATGCAGCTGGGCTATTTTGTCAAATACAGCAGTAAAGTAATTAGTCTGACTCGTTGTAAACAATACATTTTTTTTATATGGAGCTTACATTAATACTTCAAAGACATGTATTTTATATTGCATTTTTTTGCTTTAAATATGGAGGAGATGTAAAAATGAATTACAGGTGAAAAACAGTTTACAAGAAAGTTTTTTGTTGAAAGTTTTTTAGTTGATTATTGATTTATCTTTTTTTTTTTTAAATTCACTTGTAAACTTCTCCCAAGCTCTTTATAACACAACAATATAATATCTCGCAGTATCTACATAAGATATTTGACTGCCCTTGTCATGTAAAGACACAGGAAAAATGCAGTCCTCTGTTTAAAAGTAATTTGAACTTCCTGTCGATGTGCTGATGAGGCTGCAGAGATCCCCCTGGGGTGTGTTAAATAGTTTCTGTGTATCACTATTACAGAGGTTAACAATTATTTTCTCCCTTGAAATGAGGGGCATTGACCCTAATATGAGGCCACTTAACATCCATAATAAGATGATAATTGGCCAATGATGACGGCCTTGCCCCTCCCCCACCACCATTGCCGTCAGTTAATTGTAATAGATTACCTGTGTATTAGTTACATTCATCATTTCCAAAATAAAGCACGGGGAGATGTGTGTGTGTGCTTTGTACACTAGGATCTGTATTTGACTGATTATCAGTGGGGGCAGGGTGACTGAGACTTGAGATAATAATACTTCAAATCATTTCCTCCTTCTCCATCCTGATATTTTCTTTTTACGCTCAATGCCCCACTTCCTCACATGCGCGGTTCACTGATGACTGTCGTAATTGCGTGTTCACGGGCTCGATTTCCCCCGAGGGGTTCCCCAAATTAAAAGAAGTCATCCCACTCTTCCCTCATCTCCCTTTTCTCTAGCACCCTGTTTTACGCACACATAAACACGTACACAGACGTACACACACAATCGCGCACACACTTTATCTCTCCCCCTTCTTGTTCTCTCTTACAATCCTGCTCCAGGGATGCCATGCTTATTTGAATGGAACTTTCTTGTCTTTTTTCTTCTTCCTTTTCAAGCCGCGTGTCACTAATGAATAAATAAAACACACACAAGCAGTGGATTGACTTTCATGCATGGGTGCACTGGCTTTGATGAGACACCCCCCCTTCTCCAATCCTTAGACAAGCTGCTGAGGACAGTCACTCTCTGCTCTGTTAGGCTGCTGTTAAACATTTGTTCTGTATTCAGATGATTCACATTTTCAAGTTTGCACGTCCTCTCCACCTAAGGTCAAATAACTGTAAAGACAAAGAAATTCAAATTTTCATTTCGTGTTTAACGGGACACTTAGAATAATATCATCTATTAATCTGGTGCTCTAGACTGGTACTCTAGATGCTCTGGATTTGCAGCAATCCAGAGCATGCAAAATTCTGTGCTGCACGCGTGGTGATTATTACAGAATTTTGCATGCTCTGGATTGCTG